CTGTGTTCCCAGCACTTTGGGAGGCTGAGGCCAGAGGATTGCCTGAGCCCAGGGATTCGAGACCAGCCAGGGCAACTTGGTGAGACCTCGTCTCTACAATAAATCAGGAAAAACTAGTCGGGTGTGGTGGCACACGCCTGTAGTTCCAACTACTTGGAAGGCTAAGGTGGAAGGATCACCTGAGCCCAGCAGGTCGAGGCTGCGGTGGCCGTGAGTATGCCACTGCACTCCAGCTTCGGTGACAGAGTGAGAATCTGACTCAAAAAAAAAAGAAGTTTCATCTGGCTGCTTTGTAGGAATGGTTTGGAGCATAGTAAAAGTTCCGTGAAGATAGTTCAGAGAGGCTAAACTATCATAGCATCCAAGAAGGAACAGTGATGGCCTCACCTTAGAAGACCGGTGCTTCTCAAACTTTAATGTACATAGGAATCACCTGGGATCTTGTTAAATTGAGAGCTTGAATTCAGTGGGTCTGGAGTGAAACCTGAGATTCTGCATTTTCTATAAGTTCTCAGGGGGTGCTGACCCTGCTGGTTCCTAGACTCAAATATTGGCAAACTATGACCCACTGGTCAAATTTGGCCTGCTGCCTGCTTTGTAAATAAAGTTTTATTGGAACACAGCTCTGTTTACTTATTTTGATATTATCTACAGTTGCTTTCATGCTATAATGGCAGAGTTGAGTAACTGCAACAGAGGCAGTATGGCCCACAACATCTAAAATATTGTTACTCTGTCCCTTTACAGAAAAAGTTTACTGACTCCTGACCTAGAACACATTGAATAGCAAGTGTCAAGACTTGAGTGATAGCCAGGGAGATGGAGAGAGGTGGACAGAGTCAAGATATAATTGAAAGCATAAGATGTAGCCTGCACGGCTCAGCCAGCGTTCCCTTCTGACAGGAGCCTGAGCACCCTGAACAGTAGAATCTTTAAACTGAAGTTGGTGTGACAGCTGAGAACTTGGTTAATCAGTGTTCATATCTTACAATTATTTGTCCAGTGTGTGCTAAGCCCAAGGGGTTCTATTTGGTATATGCCTGAACGTACATAGAATTTCATCTATGCACACACACAGAGTAAAGATACCACCAAATAGCACCTGGTAACCTGGAAGAAATCATGTGTCATGCTAGCAAAAAGTTGAAACAACTCCTGCTTGTACATACTGTGGCTAGTTTTCCCTCTCTTCTATCTGAATTTCCAGAATCTTTACTTTCTCAGGAGGTCTTTTTAGTAATTATAGGAGGGGACATTGATGCACTGATCTGTCACCCCTTCTGCTCATTCCACCCCTAGTAAGAAGCTACATTTTCCTTAACCTCCTTGCTAGCTCTTAAAGAAAGGAAATATCCAGTCTCCTGAGGGAAATCACTTAAAAAAAAATAGGAAGATGATTTTATTTTATTTTATTTATTTATTTTGCGTTGGAGTCTCACTCTGTCACCCAGACTGGAGTGCAGTGGCCGCTCCCGGCCACCGCAGCCTCGACCTGCTGGGCTCCGGCGATCCTTCCGCCTCAGCCTTCCCAGTAGCCGGAATTACAGGCATGCGCTACCACGCCCGACTGATTTTTTGATTTATTGTAGAGATGAGGTCTCGCTGCCCAGGTGGGTCTCGAACCCGCGGGCTCAGGCAATCCACTCACCTCAGCCTCCCAAAGGTGCAGGATTACAGGCTGAGCCACCGAACCCAGCGGGAAGATGATTTTATTAAGAAAAAGAGAAGGACCAAAATTCTCTGTGCAATATTTTTCCTTTTGGGAAAATATTTCCTTTTGGGAAAATATTTGGGAATATCAGAATTGTCACTTCGACAGACTCTGTAGTAAAAGCACAAAGTAAGATATTTCCCTTGTGTAATAGATCTGTAGGCAATGTCCTACAACAAAGCGCTAAAATGATTTATCATTTAAAGACCACTCCGGGTTTAACAACTCCAGGGTTGTTAAAAGTTATGAATTGGCCGGGCTTGGTGGCTCAGTCTTTAATCCTAGCATTTTGGGAGGCTGAGGCAAGTGGATTGCCGGAGCCTGTGGGGTTCGAGACCAGTCCGGACAACTTGGTGAGACCTCGTCTCTAAAATAAATAAATAAATAAATAAATAAATTAGCCGGGTGCGGTAGCATGTGCCTGTAGTTCCAGCTACTTGGAAGGCTGAGACGGAAGGATCACCAGAGCCCAGCAGTTTGACGCTGGGGTGGCCGTGAGCGTGCCACTGCACTCCAGCCTCGGCTGGAGTGAGACTCTGACTCAAAAAATAAAAAAAAAAAAAAGAAAAGAAAAAGAAAAAGTTATGAATTTCCAGGAATTGTTTTGAGGATTTTAGCTTTCGAGGATGTTATTTTATGCACTGATGTAAGTAACATCAAATGGCAGCTTAGTGATGCGTTAACATCAACAAGTGAACTCCAACTTTTTTGAAACATAATTTACTGCTAGGTTGCAATTCAGCACTTGGATCCTACTGTGCTGACTTCAGCGTAGAGGGAAGTAAGCTGTATTGTCCTCAGAGTCCTTGCAGCTCCGTGGTGTTCCTAACGTTATTGTACATATTTGTATCAAATGCGGCTGCTATTCTTTTTCCCTACCCAGGCGTTGCATAACAATAACAACCACAAGTATGGGAGATGAAGCTTGTGTAACAGACTGATCCATTTTACTTAGAAAGCTGAAGCTGTTCAGGGGTAAATGAGTCCAAGATAGTTCAGTACAGCTGAACAAAAACAAATTCTGGGCTGCTTTCACTCACAGCAAACCTGCCTTTCCGGTCACATTCCACAAAGATCATCTGCTGTAGGAAACAACCCTTCCTTCCGATGTATGCATTTATATCAGAATCGAAACAGTCTTGTCACTTAATTATTAAGCATTGGCAGATGTGACCTCCGTGTTAAAACTGGAGGTGTTCTTGCCATAATCTAATAGTTTACATTCTTTTTAATATAAAAAATAAAAAGGAGAAAGGCTGAGACATGTGCTCTCAAGAAGTCCTTTTTTCTTCCCTTCTCAATTGTTTTACATTTCAACAAACCCGTTTAAATTTCTTCCTGAAGTGTCTAGGTGCTGAGGCAGAGATGGGAGGGAAAAAAGCAGACAAATAAAGGAAAATCCTTCCTTTTCAGAAAGTGCCTGAAAGAGCGAGCAGAAAAGGATCAGAACAAGGAGGGCCACCGGGTTTTGTTGTCTGAAATAAGATTGGAAAGAAGCTTGGAGAAGAAAGACTTGGTCCATGTCCTGGAAGCATTCTAAAAGGAGTGTTTTAGAAAGGAGAAATCATTAAAAGGATTCACGCAGCCATTTGCATAAATTAGCAAACCAGGCAGAGTGTCTGAAATGTCTTGTGAGTGCTGACCTGAAATGAAGGTCACTGATATCCCCAGACATCAACGCAGACTGAGCAGAGTTACATTAACAAACCTTTCCAGCCAGTGTTGAAAGATCATCGCCTCCGATGATTTGCATCTCACCCATGGATTGGTCATTCTGCAAAATAAAAAGGGAGGGGGAAAATAAGGAAGATGTTATTGTAATGCACAAGAAAATCTGTAAAGCACATTTTCCCATCTACCCAGTTAGTGGCTGGATTGTGCCTTACAAATATAGCGCAAATAGCTCGCACAGGTTCATGGTTGCCTATGGTTACCAAGAGCCACTCTCCTGCTACTGTGCTTGAGACAAAGCTTTCTAATGGCTGGCGGGCAGAGACTGAGGGCGGCAGAGGGGGGTGGTGGAAGGGTGGAGAGAGGGCACACTAGCCTAATTTTGAGGCAAAATGCTATGAAAGATGCCTCAACCAACCCAGAGGGAGATAGAATTGGAGAAGACAGGCACACTCCTGCACTTTGCTGCCACCAAGCCTTAGTTTTAGGCCTGTAGTGAAGAACAATTGGATTCTGGTTCTGGGAGAGACTAGAGGTCTCCTCTATCCTTAGCACTGGGTATCCAGTCCCTCATCTGACGCTAAGGGCAATTCTCACAGGCCATGGATCAAGTATTGCACTTAGACCTTCCGGTTCCAGGAATATGAGACCAGAATCATATTTAGAAGACTTTTCATTCAAATCCTATTAGAGTTTATAACCATTCACTTTCACAATGTTTATAAATGGTACTGTATCCTATCCTAATGAAACTTTACAAAACAAAAAATGGACTGTTGTAGCGCCATCTCCACAACAGAATAACATGAGGCAAAACAGGATGCAGGGCTGGCAACGACTTGTCTTCCACTTGCCTCACGACAGACACACATTAAAGGAAATGAAGCAGATAGAACGCCATGATGTTGCAATCCCTTGATTCTAACAATAACCTCAGGGAGAAACAGACAGTGTAGGCCATATGTACAACGTTGCAGAATCAGGAAACGTCTCTGTTACTGTTGTGGGCAGCTGTTACTTTTGCCAGTTCAGCACTTTCCCTCCCTTATCCTGGGCAAGGAGACCCTCCCTCTTTCTGGGGGAGTCCATTCCCTATGTTTAGGCAGGGCCAGGCTTCACTGGTGCAGGTCAATCTGCTACGTTTGACGCTAAGTCTAACCTTAAACTTTCCAGCTACTCAAGCCAATTCATTTAGGAGTTTCCTTGGGCAAGTTTAAGTTGGATTCTGTCGCTTGCAACTGAGAGTTCCTCCCTAGACAGGTAGTTAGGTTGTCATGGAAATGGTCATCTGAGAAGGGAAAAACCCAGCCAAGTCACCAATATGACAGTTTTGCCAATGAAGCTCCTTTTGTCTTCTTACCTTCCTGCTCAACAAAAGACCTTAAAATGTTTTTAGTTCCACTTGGTAAAGCGCCCACTCCTTACTGTAGAGCACTGGAGGGAATAAAGGAAGACAAGAGAGAGGCTTCACACAGTAGTTGGTCCTGACAATGGCCCATGAAATCAGATAAAACCAGTAATTTTTTTCTTATGGGAACTTATCTCAAAAGGAGAGAAACCAATCTTTTGCTGGTTTTGTGCAGCATATATAATCATATATTCATAAGTCGCCATGACAGTGGTTAAGAACTTGTCAGAAACATCAGAGGAGAAAATTTTCTTGTCACTTCTAGAGGTGCTGAGATAGAGGAGTTAACATGGGAAGAATTTCTGCATATTAGACTCAAATATGTTGTTAATAGCAGCAGGAAAAAAAATTTCACTACCCCCAGGGGACTGGGTTATGCAGAATTGGATACAACTACTAAACCACAGAGTTAGATGTAACCAATGAGATTTATATTCTGCCACATCAGAGTAAATTTCACAGTAATTCTAGTCTCTATTCTATTGATTGAAAACAAAAAACAGAAAACATGAGAAAGCTCAAAGTCACACAGTTAGTATGTTGCCAAGCAAGTGTCATTCAAGAAGTCCAATTTTATAAACATGTTATTTCGTACTGTTTTTAACTGATGAATAATAATTGTATATATGGGGTACGATGTGATGTTCAGATGCATGTATATAGTGTGCAATCAATAATTCAGGATAATTAGCATATCCATCATCTCAGATATTTATCATTTATTTGCTGTGAGAACATTTAAAATTCTTTAGCAATTTTGAAATAGACAGCATATTAATCTTAACTACAGTCACCATGCTGTGCAACAGAACACCAGAACTTATTCCTCCCTCTAACTGTAACTCTGTACCCAGAACTCTTGTCTTCCTTTTTCCATCTACCCCCTTCCTGCCCTGCCATTATCCCTAGCCTCTGGTGACCACCATTCTACTCTCTACTTCTTTGTTTCCACAAATGAGTGAGATCATAAGGAGCCTTACTTATTTCACTTAGTTCAATGTCCTTTGGGTTCATTCATGTATCAGCATGGTTCTAATATTAGATTTGTCCTTGATCCATCTGGAATTTATATTTTTCAAGTGTGTACATATAATTGTCCTAACACCATTTTCTCATATCTCAGCTTCTATAGTCTTCTAATCTAACATGTCCATTTCAACATTAATTAATCTGACATGTCCAATTAATGAATTAACAGATTTGGTTTATTAATTGACCACATTAGATAATCTATTAATTAATTGAACATGTTACATTAGGTAGAGTAATCTGACCTGTCTATTCCAATACCCAAACCATGTTGTTATAATTATTATAGCTTTTTAATATGTTTAAATATCTGACAGGGCAAGTCTACTTTTTTGTTCTTTTTAAAAATGATCTTGGCTGCTTGCATACATTTGTTCTGTCTGGGTTATTATGAAGAGCAAATGAATTAATACATGTGGAACATTCAGAATGGAGCTCAGCATGTGGTAAATGTTAGATATAATTAATTTCTTTTTCTTCTTTTCCATTTCCCCAAGGAAATGGCCACTCTACACCAGTCTCTGTTATACTGGAGTCTGGAGCTCCTGGCATAAGGTCTCCATAAAAATAAGTCTTTTGTTTCCACTGGGCCAGGGAAGGGCACTTAGAGGCTCAACTTCTCCATTCATAGGCTCTCAACCAAACTTGTTTTCATTCATTTCTCTTACTCCACCTTCTGACACTGCTCCTGAGCCTTCCAGGAATTATGTTGTATAAACTCCCTACCTCTTACTGACAATTCCCTCTACAGGCATCTTGATGTCACTTTCTCTATTCCACTGAGTCAGTGCCCTTCCTTAATCAGCTTCACCTTCTAAAAAATACTGACATTTTTTTGTCCACAGAGATCTTCTTCCTCTCCTTTTTGTCCTTGTGGTTATATTTTTCTTTTTCTTTTTCTTTTCTTTTTTTTTTTGAGTTGGAGTCTCACTCTGTTGCTCAGACTGGAGTGCAGCGGCCGCTCTAGGCCACCACAGCCTCGACCTGCTGGGCTCTGGCGATCCTTCTGCCTCAGCCTTCCAAGTAGCTGAAACTACAGCACGCGCTACCACGCCTGGCTAATTTTTTGATTTATTGTAGAGATGAGGTCTCGCCTGCCCAGGCGGGTCTCAAACCCGCGGGCTCAGGCAATCCACTCACCTCAGCCTCCCAAAGGCACAGAATTACAGGCTGAGTCACCGGGTCCAGCATATTTTTATTCTTAACTCTCATTTCAGGAGAGAATGGAGTTAATTGTATGTATCCAAACCATTGTGCTTAACCGTGATATTTCTCTAGTGGTTCAACACCATTCTATATTCCTAGAACTGATGTTTGTTTAAATGACATTGGTTTTGATTTGATAATATTTTATTTGGGACTGTTCATCTATCTATCTTCATAAGTAGGATTGCTTTTGCTACCTTTGTGGATTTTTTTTTTTTAGTTGAAGTCTCACTCGGTTACTCAGACTGGAGTGCAGTGGCATGCTCACCGCCACTCCAGCATAGACCTTCTGAGCTCTGGCAGTCCTTCTGCTTCAGCCTTCCAAGTAGCCGTAACCTCAGACATGTGCTACTACACCTGGTTAATTTTTTTTATTTATTGTAGAGACAAGGTTTCACCATATTGCCCAGGCTGGTCTCGAATCTGCGGGCTCAGGCAATCCTCTCATCTCAGTCTCCTAAAGTGCTGGGATTACAGGATCTGTGGATTTTTTTTTTTTAAGGCCAAGAGATTTATTAAAGCAGCGGTTACAAGGGAAAAAAGGAAAGGGTCTGTGGAGAGAGAGAAAGTGGGAGAGAAGCAGGGAGAGAGCTGCAGAGAGGGAGAGAGCGACAGAAAGAGAGAAAGAGAGACTGAGAGAGACGGATTTTTTTTTTAAGCAGGACTTATTTTTTATTTTATTTTATTTTATTTTTTTGAGTTGGAGTCTCACTCTGTTGCCCAGACTGGAGTGCAGTGGCCGCTCCCCGCCACCGCAGCCTTGACCTGCTGGGCTCCAGGGATCCTTCCACCTCAGCCTTCCAAGTAGCTGGAACTACAGGCGCGCGCTACCATGCCCGGCTGATTTTTTGATTTATTGTAAAGATGAGGTCTTGCCAAGTTGCCCAGGCGGGTCTCAAACCCACGGGCTCAGGCAATCCACTCACCTCAGCCTCCGAAAGGCGCGGGATTATAGGCTGAGCACCGAGACCGGCTAGGATTTATTGAGAGGACAGAAAGCTCCCACAGTGGGAGGGGACCCAAAGGGGTTGTCCTGCTCTGTGAATTTTTAAAGCAAAGCTATACTAGCCTTATGTGATAATTTGGGTGTTTGTCTTTTTTTTCTATGCTCCAGAAGATTCTATGTGTGAATGGGTTTTTATCTATTTTGCTAAGGTTCAATAGAGTTCAGAATAAATATTATTTAAATTCCAGTTCACAAATGAAGCAACAAAGACACTAGGAGTTTAAGAAACTTTCCCAAAAATGCACTGCTAGTTTGTGAATGAGCCCAATTCAATCCTAGGTTTGCCTAGCTCCTTATTATCCTGGTATAACGCCCCACTCCCATATTCCTAGAGGAAAGACACATGGTGAGTGCATCCTGGGCAGTAGCATGGGTAGGAGTGCGACCTGGCTATACTGGTGAGGTTAGAGACACAGACTGAATCAACATCTGGTTAGAAATGCTGGTGGTGGAG